GACTAAAGTAGGATTTCAGACTGAATCAATGTTGTAGTACATCATTTTGTACTTGTTTTGTGTCCAGCTTTTAAAAATTAGTGATTTTAATACATATTTTTCTAACATCCCTTACAGCTCCCAAGTCATTTGGAATAATGGGGTGTGCCCCCCTTAGTCTACTGCCAAGCAGCAGGTGTTTGCAAGAGTGGTGATTGGCTTGGGTTATTTCTCTAAGTTCGTAACTGAGCATCCTCAAATCAGAAAAGCGAAGAGAAGTGGCCAAGGTTTTGGTCTCTGTAGATTGGGACATGAGGGATCAATTAGAGCAAAAAGGTGAATATCTAAAGTTTGTGAAGGAGGTTATGCATATAAAACACAGCATTTTATCATTCTGTCTTCCGTTACTAGAATCTGTGTGAATTAATGGTAAAACGTCCTTTGTGTTTCATTAGAACAAACAACTAGAAAAGGTGGGTGTTCTAACTACGCAATGAATATGCAACTATTTAAGGAGGGGCAGTGAAGTTCTTTGCTAGTTTCAACACAAACTGAATGACTAGTGGTGGGAGCCAAGAAGAATACATGTTAGAGCTTGTTCTTGAAAGTTTTCTTTCCAGGAATTTTGGTAGATAAAGAAGGGATTTCTAAAGAGGATGGATAAAGACGGGATAAGAGGCATTTTTGTCTTCAGTGGGACTGCTGAAGAAAATGGTTTTGTTGCATACCTAGCAGCCTTCGTCAGCAGAACTCAGGGTTTAAGCCTTCCTAAGTCCTGCAGACTGTCGGCAGAAAATGTTGTAGTTGTAAAGGTACTTTCTCTCGCAGTACCAAAATAAGCACAAATACTTTGGGCAAGGTGAGTCCAGATGCTATCAAGCATAGTTAATTTGGGTTAGTTTAACTAGGGGAGAGGTGGTTTTCTTGTCATGATGAAACCCTTTCTCCTGCACAGAGAATGTGCATTTTCATAACTGTTTAGAAAAGCTAAAAATGAGCTTAAAGCGCAATCAGAAACAATGTAAACTTTTTGAATTGTATAATGTGCTATTCCTGAAGATTGTGACTTTAAATAAGGGACTGAACTTTTCTAGCCTTTAGGTTTCCCAAATACTAAGATGTGGGATAAAGACAAGAGACAGACACTTCTTGAGGACCAAGCATATGCTTAATGCAGAGATCTAACTGAGTTGCAAGTTCCCAACTGGTCCACTGAGTTGTTAAGACTGAGTAAGTGGAGGTTCAGAAAACCAATTTAGTCTCGTGCTAACTCTTGCTAACTCTCATTCACTACTGTGTGTATATAGATGTAACTTTGAAAATTTTAATCCAGGATCCTTCACTCTTTACAATTATATATGATAGAACCTTTCACATCAAAATATACTTTTCATCATATGTCTTTTTGTGTGATCAAGGGTCATACTAATATTAGATCTGCTTTGTAACCACCAGAAATAAAACCCAGATTGCTATTTTCCAAATTATGATGTAATCAAGACTGTGTTTCTTCATGTGACTCTGGTGCATTAATTAAAGTCCATACCCAGTAAGGGCAACCTTTATGTGTCAGTGGAAAGATACTCGGCTCTGACCCAATATCTGATCTAATGTCTTAGATCCTAAATCTTCAGGTCGTAGATTTCTGGCATCCTGAAAGTGACTATCCCCTTACATTACCTGCCATAAAAATATGACAGTTTTTAATCCCTGAAAAAAATAAATATAGCAATAACCATCATCTATCCATATTTATGAAATACTGACCTCTGATCTGAGAGCATGTACCTGTTTATTCCCTTAACATAAATGACACGTGTAAAATGTAAATTTAGAGCAGACTCTGTATCGAAAGCTGCCTTGTTAACAATTCCTGAAGCAACTGTTAGAATCTCTCTGTAAATTTTAACCTTTGTTAAAGAAAACAATAATGTACCCTAAGAGGTTTATCTATAGGAAATATATCCATAATCCTGATTTTAAAATAGTCTTGTGAATTTTGTCAGCATGAACAATTAAACTCACTCATCTCTGAAGCTAATGTTTTGTTCATTTCTATAGGCACATAGATTGAGAGCCTGCTGTATGTAAAAGGTTCCCAGGGGATAGAGATCAAGTGAGTCATCAGACATGACCCTAGGTTCAGTCAAATAAGCCACTGTCTCTGTGTGCCAAGGAGTTGGTGGTTCTGTGGGATGCATGACTCTGTGTTTAAAACCAGACCAGTTCCAGTTATGCTTATTCCCTTTAGCCCTCTCCACATGCTGCTGCTGACAGCTGTCTTACCAAGAGCATCCTCTATGAGGTCTAGAATTGTACCTAAGAGCATATCATTCTGTGGTGTCTCATCTCATCTTGAGCAATATCCAGGTCCTTATTCCTTCTACACAAATGCCCTCACCTGCCCTTCACAAACACTCTTCCCATTGGGTTTTTCTCATCCATTTTCCCTCTTTAACTTCTTCCTTGCTCACCAATTTCAGTAATGTGCCTATAAGATAGCTGTTTATATCACCTTTGACAATATATTTGCTTTTAAAAGGCTTCAATTCAACCTCCCTGTCCCTTTTTCCGTCACAGTTTTCCTCATACAAGCGGTCAGCACAACATCAGATAATCTAGTTGAGTTTCTTGTTCTAATATTAGTAGCACCTTTTCTTGAAGCAGGGTCTCACTGTAGCCAAAGCTGGCTTGGAATTCACTATATAGACCAGGTTGAACTCAACCTCACAGAAGTCTGCCTGCATTTGCCTCTTCAGTTCTGGGATTAAATGTGTGCAGCCACAACACCCAACCATCTTCTTAACTGGGGCTGCTGATTGCATATTACTGCAGAAGTTAATGAACAAAGCACAGAAGCATCTAGAAGCACATAATGTGTTTTGAAACAATGACTATCTTACTATTGTGGTCTTATATTCATGGCAAATATTTTAAAAGTAATAATGTGTATCGGATGCTTATGGTCTCATATTTATTCCATGCCCAATGCTACTATGCTCTTAATGTGCTCTTCACTGTATATTTATCTTTGTCAGTATTTGCTGATTAGATAACTACACAAGTGCATTCCCATTTTTCTATGACAAGTTCTCTTTTACAATTATACTTCTCCTTACCAAAGATATATGAATTGCCAGTTGATTTGTAATTGTATGTGAACAACTGTAGCAAACTACAGATTACTGTTCTTTATCTTTGGAAAAAATCAGTAAGCCAACATGACTGTCCTTACCACTAACCACGCCAGGCTGTGGCTTCAGCACTTCTCTGAGATAGAAGGGCACATACATGTAAATCAGGAACTCTTATATCAAGACCAGGTAAGAGAATAAGTCAAGCACATGTTGGAAATATAGTACCTTATGAGCACATTTTATAATTTTC